CGGCGGTCGTGGGGCTGGCCTTGCGCGCCTGAGCGAGTTGCCTGACGGGTTCCCAGAGGGCAGCGAACTGCGCGCTGTAAGATGTCTTGAGTGTGTTCCGCACGGCCGCGTCACCGGTAGCAAAGAGCGTGACGTAGAGGTGTCCGAGGCAAAAGACGAGCGACTGTAGTTCGTCGAATGGACTAGCGCCCGTGATGGCGACGAGTTGTGCGTGGTCGGCCGTCGGTTTAAGGAGGCGCTCGCACATCGGGAAGACCTGAGGCGCTACAGCGGGACAGCGGCGCAACAGCGAATCCAGCCAGAGCGCGGCGCTGGCCACCAACTCCTTTTCTTCGAACCAACTCGGCGTCGGACCCTTTGTAGCCGGCTCACGCTCTAGAGGCGCCAACAATCCGCCGCTCTGCTCGGGGGGAAACAACTGGTCCAGCTGCTGTTGCACGGCAAAGATGAGGCGCAGCAGACTTTGATGTGTGAGCGTCGAGGCCGCGTGGCAAGCCACCGTGGCGTACCGGAGAAACATGAACGCGATGTGGCTTTCCGCCGCCTTGGGCAGTCGATGGAACCAGCGACAGATTTGCCCGTCGACAGAGTCGCTGCTCAACAGCGATGCCACGGTCGCACCCGGCGCGTGCAACTGTGCCACGTCCTCTGCGCCGCCGCGAAGGCACTCCGGCTGCTCCGAGGGCGTCGCGGGAGTCGTCGTCCACGACGCGCCATTGCTGTGGATCCGTAGTGCCGTGCCGTCCGTCGCCGCCATGACCACCAACGTCACGAACGGACCTGCCTCGAACAACTCCGTCACCGGCACCACCGGCTGGCTGTCTGCACCTGCGCCCGTCCCGCCAAAGCCGTCAGATCCTGCCAAGGAGGATAGCCCAGCCGGCGCCTGGGTTAGCCCAGGCTGCGCCTGGCCAGTCTGGGCCAAGCCAGTCTGGCCGAGACCAGTCTGGCCCAGGCCGGCTTGAGTTAAGCCGGTTTGGCCCAAGCGGCTGGGAAGTCCGTAAATGGAGCCGGGTGCGACGCTACCGACTGCGTTGGTAACAAGTGGTGTGGTGCGGCATTCAATGAGGGTCTCGTAGCTGGCGCTCTCGACCATGAGGTCATATTCGCGGATATGAGGTCCGACTAGCTGCATGTCCGCACTGAAGGACATGGGGCTGATGGTGAAGAGGTGCGGTGCAAGCGAGATGAGAGCGTATAGGTTGTCTTTAGTCTGAAGTGCGACGGCGGTGGTCATGGAAGCCAGTAGGCCGAGGTTTGCGCTCAGTAAGGATTTGCGGTGAGCTGCAGTGATTTGGAAGAACTCGGGCGGGAGCGTGAGGTGAATGAGTTGCGGTAGCACGTTCCCGGGGGGTATTTGGACGGAGCGGAGTTGTAGGCCGAGTTGCACCAGCAGCGACTCGGATGTGTTCAAGGCGCTGTTAACAGTGGCCTGTATCTTGGACTCGTCCTTGAAGTATGAGAAGCAGCACATGATACGTTGCACGACTACCTTGAAGCAGCCTTTGGCCTCCAGTATATTTAGCAAGTTAAGGACCTCTTTTCTCGTTTGCGGACACATGGGTCTGGGATCTGTTCCGGCCACATGTTCTCGCGGGTCGATGTGCAATGTGTTGTCTGTCGTGTCAGCGGGGTCAGGTTTGATTGTGGTGTCAGCGTCGGAACAGCTGCTGCTATCGCCAGTCAGTTGGCCTCCGTTGATTAAGTCTTCCTCACTTACAACGTCTCTTTCCAAGGCGTTGTAGCCGACAATCTTGTTTCCCAGTTCGAATAATTTCATCAACGTGTCTACATAGTGCAGCTGGTCTTCGATCCAGAGTTCAAGACAGGCTTCCATAAGCTTCACGGGTAGTCGGCCTTCGCCTTGCTGATTCAGTGGGGTGGATAGCACGGTGGACAAGTTGTGGGTGACAGCCTGTCGAACCATCCCTGACAAGTCCTTCTGGTCAACACATCGCAGAAAGATTTCTGTGGCTACTCCCACTTCGACTGAAAGTACTGCCGCCAAAGCAATGACCAGCCCATATATTGTGCCGTTGGCAACGCCGGCAATACGTGCAGCAGTGTCGTCCGGATACGGAGAGTGCCCCAGCAACTTTGTGCCCAAACCCGGATTCAGTTTCCGGATCTCCTCGGAAATTGACTCCGGCGAATACGACTGAATCGTAGAATGCGAATTACGAGCTGCACGGACATCACATTACAGGGGCATATTAGAGGGGCATATTAGAGGGGTCAGGTGGAACAGGTCTACATTAGAGGGGTCAGGTGGAACAGGTCTACCGGCACATAGGTAAGATGAAACACACGGGTGATACGGAGGGGGAATGAATGCTGGATTTACCATTGACCAAAAAGCTATCAAGTTCACCCAGTATTTCCTTTGCTTCAGGAGACCACTCCTGTTTCACTAAACAAACGTCTCCACACAACCGCTGCTCCAGTACCCGGAGACATTGCTTTATTGCCATCCGCCGTATTTAATATTTCCTATGACTCTGGACCATAACTCTGGACCATAACTCTGGACAATGACTTTGGACCATAACTCTGGACAATGACTCTGGACAGTGACTCTGGGCATCTAAAATAGGAAGCGTCCCCCTCGCTCAGTCCCTCTTTAATTAGCGTTTGTTTCGACCGTTGGTGTGGTTCCGATTTGAACAGCCCGCTCCGGTATGCTAAAATTGATATAGTCCGATGGGATCGTATGGGTCCACGAACGTTGGCATGAAGAGTGCTAACAATCAGCGACGCTTTCGTGTCTGGTTATCGAAACGGGTGTTTTTGGACGTCGCCTTCGCTTGCTGGTCGGCTCGCCGTGAGTTAGGTAGGATTTTCTTTTGGCAAAAATCGGGGGGAGCAAGAATGAGTTTGCGGGCGGATGTTTCGTTTGTTAAGGAGCACGCTCAAGTCTGTAGTGTGATGTTCTCAGATGTATGGAGGGCTGCGGGTAGCAGGATTATGATGTACCTGCCTATAAAAAAAGTACTAGTTATACGGTTATTGAGTCGGTGGTTATTGGAGCAGTTCGATAATGATGAGATGATCTGGCGTCAGATGATGGACCGGATGTATTTGTTAGATGCTTACGATGTGGCGACCAGGTGCTCATTGTCAAGCGAGATAGGTGAAAGACGTTTGCGTTTCCTGAAATTGTGGACGCAAGATCAACTTCGATGGAAGCGGACAGATTATTTGAAGCACATGTGTCATTCCTTTCATCGCAACTCGACATTCTCCGCTATACCCGGCAAGCGTTCGATGCGTTATTCCCGAATTGTGGATGCGGAAGGCAACCTGGGCGGTGGTGGACCAGGGCAGAGAAGACTTGCGGTAGAGTACTCGTATGGGTTGATACCACGAGAAGGACCCCTAAGTCTTGGTAATCCTCGGTGTGTTGATGCTGTAGATACCGACGGCCAGGTTCAGAGGATCGATCTGCTTGCAAGACAGTCTTTGTTACAACAAGGTGTGGTCGGAGGCAAGCTGAGTGTGCCGAATGGTTACCGTACTTTCTATCCCTTGTCCGGAAGTTGCTATGCATTCGTCTGGGCTAGCAAGGACTATTTAATAGTTAGTTTGCACGATGGTACCTTTGCGTACTTGGACCACATCAAACTTCCAATTGACACTGCGATTTCTTGCATGACTGCCAACGACCTGCCGGAGAACTCCGACGTCGAATTCGGGAGCTCCCTGCAACGGGTAAATAAATTAGGAAGCGCAACTTCGTCCGACTCCCTCTGCCAATCAGTCAAAGAACCACCAGTCCAGCGAATGGAGCCACCAGTCCAGCGAATGGAACCACCAGTCCAGCGACAGAGAAGTATGGACAGCAACTGCGAGACTCCGACCCTGCCCACCACCTATGTATTTGGTATGGCCGATGGACGTGTATTTATAACTACCAGGAAGCTTACTCAAGCTCTGATAATGCTGCCATTGCTGCAATCTCCGGTCAGCGCTCTGCAGGTTAGTGACGATGGCAAGACTATCGTGGTGAGCTGGCGACGGAACTCGCTCCTGGAGGTGTGGCGTCATTGTGCTTCAGTGGACAGAAGGCTGCCGAAGGTCTGGCGATGCGTCTGTAGGGTGTCTCTAATTCAGTCTAGCTTCGAAGCTAACGTAGTGGAGTGCGCACTTTATCCAACCAGCTGTCAGCCGACCAGCTGTCAGCCGACCAGCTGTCGTCCGCCTGGCAATCAACCATTCGGCACTAGCTATCCGAGCAGTGAGGGGAAGACCAACCGTAGCTGGCATAGCACCGGAGGTTACTTGGCCGCCCCTCAGTCATCGGATATTCTGGGAGAACTGGTTGTTGGTGTAGCTAATGGTGTGTGTGCGCTACCTTTGTTGTCGGAAGCGGCGGAGTTGCCGAATGGTAGGATGAGGTTCCCGGGGAACGTGATGCTACAATGTAATGTGGAGTACGCCCTGGATAACGAAGGTTGCCACGTGACATGGTTTCCCAAGGTGGGTGGCTACTCACACTGCGGCTTACCAAAGACCGGTGGTGACTCACAGGAAACTGGGGAGCTTTTTCCGTCGTCAATTTTGGAGTTGTTAGATACCGATGTCGAAGAGTATGCGCACATTCAAGTAGACCCGAGCACAGCGGGTCTCCCTGATGACGTGAGGCTTGCTGTGAGCAGGCTCCGAAGCTCGAGCCGAAAACCCGGACGGATCGAGGAGGTGCACAAGGCCTTCTGTATTTACAAAGGACGGAGACCAACTTTCACTTTTTTTTGGAAGGGCTGCTGGGTGTTCTGCCAACGACACATGGCCAAGCTGCAGACCTTTGACTTCGCCTCAGCCAGCAACAAACTGGTTACCAACTTACTGGGTCATGCACACGTTATCTATCAGGCGGCTTTCGACAACGAATCCAATCGTCTACTTACTGTTGATCGCGATGAAAACTGCGTTCTCTGGGACCTCGTTCGCTGTCGGAAGATCGCAGGATGGAACTTACTTACCGAACCAACTGAAGGGGAAGAGGACTTCGCCACGGATCCGCCCGGCTCAGAGCCGCAAACATGCCCGAACACGCCTCCATCATTCGACCCAGCTAGCGCGCTTGAAGTGCCGAACGGCAACCAAGACGACACCAGCAGCAGCGACCTGGACCCGGACAAGGTCTGGGAGGGGGGCGAACCAGTGCATGGGAACGGTCCGCATGAGAGCATCACCTTAGTTAATGGCTTTGTCCACGGCTCTGACAGGTCGGGCACTGGACATGAAAGACACCGTTCAGACAGCGGTTCTGCCCCAGCGGTCAGCCTTTCAGCCAGCAATGTTCCCGCCAGTAACGCTTCAGCAAGCAACGCTTCAGCAAGCAACGCTTCAGCAAGCAACGCTTCAGTTGCAGAGGGTCTGATTGGGGAGAGCTTGGCTGGGGAGGACTTGCAGCTAAGTGGTCTCAAGCAAGATGGTCTCCTGTTAGAGGAACCAGAAGACTATCCCGCTCTGGCTGGGAGCCAGCCATCCTTGTCAGAGTTCTCTACGCAACATGCACCCAAGATTCGTTCTCGCTGGGGACGAAATAATACCGCCGCTCTGAGGAAGCGGCCGGAGGATGAAGACCTACCTTCCCCGACGCCCTCGTATAACGTCCATGCCGAGTACGATCGAGCAAGTCAACACAAAGGGGTGCCACCTCTTTTCTACGAGATAGCTGCCTCACTGGGAGTAACTGTAGAAGAAGTAGTTGCAAACCACGAAAGGCAAGTACTCTGGGAATCCCAACACCAAACGACGCTTCCGACGGCTAGCCGCGCAACGGACGAGGGCCCCGAGCCTCTCTCTGACCCCAAGCCAACCGAATTGAAAGCGCACCCCGCGATCAACGAGGATGCTACTACGGCCGAAGCGAAGGCTACGACGGAGAACGATCCCTCCTCACTGGAGAGCGATCCCCCGCTGGAGAGGGGACACCCCCCTCAGGAGAGCAAACACCCTCAGGAGGCCTTGAAATCGGCTTGTCGGAGATTTGTTAGTGAGAGACCCAAAACCGAATTATCTATTAAACGACCTGTTGCTGCCCCCCCGCCCAGGACATCGCGTCGATTGATTTCGGCTTTGGCTCGCGACATCGCAGACCGACACCAAAAACAATTGGAGCAAAAGGTTATCGCCAAAACACGGTTGCCGCAAATGCGGCTACCTAGACCACGCCATGCACTTTCGCAAGTGATCCTGGCACATGACAGCTTAGTTCTGTGGTTCAGGGATTTGCAAAAGCTCGATGTTTGGACCTTTCGTTGACTAGTTTTCACAGCCAAACAGCTAACCATTCACACTCAATATCATCCGCAGTCCTTGCGAGATGGATGATATTGAGTGCGAATGGCATCAGCTGTCTCAAACTGTTCGGAAGGTGTTGGCTCGTAAGACCATGAAGCAAGCGCCAGCGACCAAATTGGTTTCTAAAGAGCCAGCGAATTTATGTGCACACACGTGTGCTCTAATGTGTTTGTGCGCGCGTTATTTGGAGACATACCTTCCAGGCTCAAAGACGTCTTGAGGATTGTCATGGTACCCATGTTCGACGGGTTGGGGATCCAGAGAACGTCTCCAGCGGAAGTAACGATTTCTTCAGGGCCAAACTTGATGACGCCGCTAAAGGTCGCGATAAGAATTGGATTTCCAAGGGAATTAATAGGAGAAAGGAACTGGCAGTGCTCTTCAGAACTGGTTACAACTAATTCCATCAAGTCCACGGGTGGTAAATGTGGTCCGCCGACGCTGAACCCGGTTTTGCCTGCTCCCGCTAGCTGACTCCAAGCTGCGTCGAAGAGTTGTTGTAAAATTACGTGGATGGACCTTGAGATGAAGTATTGGCAGGTGCTGGAGCTGACAAGCTGCTGCTGGCAGGCGTTCAATTGTTTTTCGCGAATGTAGGTAAGGAGTGCCGGTGTACTTATTCCAGTATTACCCTGTTTACGAATGTTGCTCCCCTCAGTACTCAGGTCTTTAGATATTTGGCTTTGTTCAACGGAAGTGACCGCTGCTGCTAAGGCTAGTTTGAGATCCGCCGGTTCGAGGCCATTTCGTATCTTAACGATGTCGTATCTGAGGTGTTCCCTGTAGCCTCGACTCAGGGTTATAGAGTCCAGGAATACTTTGGGAATTTCTGCCAGCAATATTTCTCGAACTCCTTCGTACTGAGATTTCGTATGGAGAACCAATGCCGCTTGGCCGTCGTCTTCTCCCTCCAGTTGTGCATCGAGTGCCTTACGATCTACTAGCTTGTCATCTTCGATAGTTCGGTAGACTTTCGGGTACGTTGTAGACGTCCTGTTTCGGTAATACACTTGCGGTCGGTGCAGCTTCCAGAATTTATGTTGGCCTGGCATGGCGATTGGTGTGATGAGCCTACGAGGGTTTTTGAGAACGAACATGTACGGGGAATCGTTCTGTTCTAGTACCCAGTTAAATCGCAGTTTATCTTCATCATTCTCTATGACGTCAATCAAGTCCGCATGACCGACTAGACAGCGTGTGGGATAGCTCGGAGGGAAGTTCATCCAGCTCATGGCACCGGCACATGAGTTCCTGTCATGACACTCATCACAGTGGCTGCCGCCATACAGTGTCCTGTAATAGCCCTCAATCTGTTGGATAACGTCGTCGGAGATTTCTTGAGTCCCTGCATGGATCCAAATTCGTCCTCGATAATTGGTATTCCATACTCGCCCTTCCAGACGCTTAAACCCGTAAACGATCAAAGACGCCCACGGCTGATGTAAGGTCAAACAGATCCCTTCGTCCGTTTCTTCCGCAAAAGCCGGGGTTACGAATTCTGTGTCTTCTTCCAACACCCGACACATCACCGGTGCCAGAACTGGACCCACCCCGTCGTTACCTTCCAGGTCAGATGCACCATCTACAAGATCATCGTCTTGAAGATTGGTGGCATACTTGCGGTCCTTGATTCCAATCTGAGTTTTACTTAGTACCTGTACTGAATCATTTTGATTATTTATTACATCCGCCACCAGCTCTTCTGCTTCAGAGTCCCTGACGGGCACACTTCTTGACTGACCATTATCTTTCGACTGACCATTATCTTTCGACTGACCATTATCTTTCGACTGACCCACTTTCGACTGAACGGGCGAGCCTATTAAAGCGGTAAGAGCGCCGGATTTATCCGAGGACGACGGGAAGGATATGTCTTGGAGTCTTCCTGGTTCTTCGTTCAAGAATCTTTCCAGCACCGTGGTTTGCGCGTCTACAAATGCTTGTTGGGCATTGGTCATGGTCAGCTTCATGTTTTGTAGATCGATATTTAGCTCACCAAGAAGTTTGTTGGGATCTTTGGAAAAACTTTCTTCTTCTTCATCTTGCTTTGTTGCAAATGCCCGTTCCTGAGCGGTAGCCCATGGGTTGTATCTTTCCGAGTAAAAATCGGTTTCCATATCATACACACGTGTGCGCTTAACACTTTCCATATCGAACTGTAAGAGCCGATCACGCAGTTCACACGCTTCCTCATACCCGTCCAATTCCTTATATCGATTCATCTCTGCCTTATCCTCCTTCAGATTTCCTCCAAATCCGCACTCTGGACAGATCCTGTCGTCTTCTTGTGTACATATGATACGACCACACTTTATACAATTTCGTACAAACTCATGGTCAAGTGCCATACAACCGCAATACTTCAAAGCCAACAACATGCCGTTCTTCTTACTCAATGGAGCAATGTATTTGGATACTGGCGCGGTGACCATCGCGTCTCTCAACAAACTTTCGTCCACGACATCTGCCGGGGTCGCGTGGAAGAACGGGTCGCGTGGAAGAACGGGTCGCGTGGAAGAACGGGTCGCGTGGAAGAACGGGTCGCGTGGAAGAACGGGTCGCATGGAAGAACGGGTCGCATGGAAGAACAGTGCAGGAGGGAGGAGGGATGCAACATGGCAAGGAGGGGGGCAGTAAGGAACGAGAGGAGACTAACTGTAAACATCTTCGTGATTTTCTATCTTGGTCTCCACCAGAGTGACACGGGCGACCGGCGTGGGCGGTGCTTCGGGAACTTTGGTCTTCATTTTTGCCGTTTGGACTCCTCCACCGGGCTCCAATGCGCGCCGCCGTTCCTGGAGTTCCTTTACAAAATCGCAGCTCATGACGTACGCCTCCGGCTTCTCACTAAAGTCCGCTAGATGTCTACATATGGCTTCGTTACCTTCCAGACTGAGGATAAATTCTACTTCGTCATCGGTCACTGGGACTCCGAGAATCTACGGCAACACTTGGTTCATACCTGTTCCGCACGCACTAAAGCGGACGGATGCCGGGTAGGACGGGGCCGGGTAGGACGGGGCCGGATAGGACGGGGCCGGATAGGACGGGGCCGGGTAGGACGGGGCCGAAGAGGACGGGGCCGGGTAGGACGGGGCCGAAAAGGACGGGGCCGGGTAGGACGGGTGCGCAATAAAGAATAAAGAAAAGTACTGCAAGCTCTTGGGCGGGTGGTTGGTTACCTTTGCTATATACCCTTTTGACCATTCAATAATTTGTGGTGTTAACATGGTGAAGGTTCGGCGGCAAAAATTATCGTTGTATGCGGCACCACAGCAGGGGGGGGGGGGTCTTGGCACTGGCGGCGCTCAAGCACAGGAGGGTTAGAGTGTGGACACACTTGTGGACACACTTGTGGACATCGGCGTGTTGTAGACGGGCGTTGGGAGTGTTGGTATTGTGTATTCAAGCGTGGTTGTACGTGGTCCTGATACCTAGCAGCCTGTTGCTCTCTCCCATACTTGGACATCTGTTATCGGCGGTGGTGATTTCCTTAATTATCGGAGTCCTGGTTACTGGACCGAAAAAGGCTTTGGACTTTTCCACAACAGTTTGGCTTCTGCATTTAGCACTATCCTACTGTCTGCGACCTTTCTCCAACTTCCAAACGAGTCCTTTCCTCTTGTCATTCAACTTACAAAATGTCCTCCTCACAATCCTGTGTGCGGTGGTCACCATTCTCTTTTCCACCATCCTGTGCAAAAGGAAGGAGATACGCAGCATATCATTTGACCCGATTCCAACCGTCCAAATCGAAGCTGTATGACTCGACGCAGAGGGGTCAACACTCTGCGTTGAGAGTGTTGACTCAACCACTCTCAACGCAGAGGAGTCATTTATGCAACTTAGTTGTTAGACGTAGCGTTCGTTGATAAGCCAAGACCCACTAATGCAAGACCCAGTAATGCAAGACCCAGTAATGCAAGACCTAGTAAGTTAAGGCCCGGAATTCATCACGGCTTGAAGACATTCCTGAAGGCCAACAGGGCCACTGAAACTATGGCTGCGCACGGTCATCGGTGCCGCAGCATTACATGACAAAATCGCTTCCGGATGTCCCTCTAATACAATCTCACCAGGCTCCTCCGACCCTGCCGGTATCAGCAAACGGTTGATAGGCGACAAAATTTTTGTTGCCTTGGTCTCCAAGCTGTACGTTATCAAGCCGTGAATTATCGATAGATTCGGGTGGGTTATATCTTCCAAATCAATACTCATCAAATTAGCCCCATCTGAAATGAATGTGAACACAATGTTGCTACCACGGAAGGTGAATGACTCACATTTTGCTGCTAGCTGCCGCAGACAGAGAATCAGCTTTTCGTCTATGGCTTTTTGGATAACCACGTTAATTGGCAGACCTATAGTTCCAACTTTGTCGTAATGTTCATTCCACTCCATTAGCCATTCTTGTTTGCAATTCTTGATTTTGATAGATAAGGAGTTATTCTGGTCCATGATTTCGACTATGAGATCACGGATCGCGGATAGCCATGACTTACACTCCACATAGCATTCGATAGGCTGCAAAAGGATAGTGTGTGAGAGACAGTGTGGAGAGGCGTACGCTATCGCCGTTTAAGCAAATGACAAAGGAACTAGTAGCTGGGTCTCCGCCTTGATTCGTCCATTGATTAAGCATCAGCGGCTTCCCGAAAGTGATCAGGTTCTGTATGCGACAGAAAGTGCGCAGGTAGTGCTCCATATCACCCACACGTACACTTGCTAGTCCCGCTATTGTGCTCTCATCCAAAAGGGGCCGTGCCATCTCCTGGTTCGACACATCCAGCAACCTGGCTGCGATATTGCCAGCTTCAGTACCGCAAATCATACAAAGACCGGTTTTGGTATTCTGAGTGTATTCCACCAGACGAAGTCTTCGTTTTTCGGCCCGACTTGACAACGGGGCAGCAGCCCCCAAACTATGCCGGGTGATCGAAGCACCACCCCTACCACTACCCCCAGAAGCCATGGGACCACCTCCAGAAGTCACGGGACCACCTCCAGTAGTCAAGGGACCACTTCCAGTAGTCAAGGGACCACCTCCACTAGTCAAGGGACCACTTCCAGTAGTCAAGGGACCACTTCCAGTAGTCAAGGGACCACTTCCAGCAGTCAAGGGACCACTTCCAGCAGTCAAGGGACCACTTCCAGCAGTCAAGGGACCACTTCCAGTGCCCACGGGAACATCCGGTCCACCGTTGGTGGCCGGCGGTCCACCGTCGGTGTTGGAAATCCCGTTTGAAATGGACTTGGAAGGCGCAGGAGTCTTCGAAACCGCAGGAGACTTGGGGGATGCAGAAGCCTTGGAGGCAACTGGAGACTTGGAGACCGCTGGAGCCTTGGAGGCTACTGGAGACTTGGAGACCGCTGGAGCTTTGGAGGCTACTGGAGCTTTGGAGGCGACTGGAGCTTTGGAGACAGTTGGAGCCGTGAAAATGACTGGAGACGGGGAGACGAGTGCGGCCTTTGAGACAACCGGAGTCGGCCTGGAAATCACCGGGGAGGCTACGGGGATCCTTTCCATAGATTTAGTCGGGCTTTGGGATCTCATTACCTTTTGATGTCCTGGTGAGAAGCCAATACCGGGGGGACTGCCTCCAGATCGTGAACTGGAGGATCTAGGTGGTTCTTGATCTGCTGCTTGGAAACCTTGTGAACTCGTGGAACGTTTGGTAACGATCCGGGTGGTGTGTGATCCATGGTGCAAGGCCTGGTCTGCTGCATCGGTTGGAGGTTTATCATCATCATCATGGGTCGATTGGTTTGTATTGTTTTCACGCATTTTTTCGAATGGTAAATCGATGTAAGAAAAATCTTTAAGCCTTAAAAATGGTAATGACCTCAAGAAGCAGGCAAGAGAGTCCAGCACAAATGCGGCGGACATACCTGGACATACAGAACAACAAACACGGTTCTGGAAAGGCCACACCCCGTTGGCAATTTTGCGTGCAATAATCACGACTTTAGACCTGCACTACGACAGGTAACGAAATGGCCTTAATCTAATTCGACCAGAAGTCGACGTAATTGACAGAAATTGATGTGGTGCTTATGTCGTAAAGGATTGTAGGAATCATTCATAATATTAAGGCGGCAAACCATCAGTAAGCAAACCAATTTATGGTAACGACCGTAAGATCAATCTCCACTAGATACGATCAGAGGAGATAGGACCGGAGGAGATAGGACCGGAGGAGATAGGATCAAAGGAGATAGGATAGGTTTCATGGGGTCGAACTTGGGTTGAAGGTCGTCAGACTTGAGTTTAAGATATAGTATTATTGTTGATACATTATTTCTTTCTTGTAAAGAAGGGTAAAAGTCGCCTTAGCAATATATGCGCTGCACCGCTGAAATACATATATGCGGATGGAGTGAATCCAACCGCTGTCGGGTCCCCGTCAAATCAGACTAACGCAACGCCGGAATCTAGTACATCCCCGAAGCCCATCGGAATTCGTCCACACGCGGAATGACAGAAATTCTCGGGGTTGAGAACCTAGGGCCTAAGCGACGGTGAACCACTTGCTCAACCCGCTGCCCCCATTCCTTGCTACTGGACATCCACCTATGCATCTTCCGACGGAGCACGTAAACGGCGTCGTCATGGTCCTCCTCCGACGCTGATGAAATAGAGTCTACCCTAATACGGGTAGCCTCCCCCTCGAGCTCTTGAAACTCGATGTCGCCTGCTGCGAGATCACAGAACTAAGAGAAACCATCAGTACAAGGTAACACGTTACAAGGTAACAGGTTACAAGGTAACACGTTACAAGGTATTTTGAATGAAGGGTCCCAAATGAAGGGTCCAAATGAAGGGTCCAAATGAAGGGTAGGAATCCCTAATAGCCATATGTTGAATGCTTAGCATTCCAATGCCCTGAAGTTAGCAGATACTTACTCTCATGCTGGTAAGTTGAAAGTCTTATCGATGTTAAAAATTTCGGAATGGAGGAATTTACGGGGCCCGGGCCTTCACACCGTTTCAGGTCAGGAAATTCACGAACCCGCCGTCAAGACTCAATTGATTACGGTCCTTCTAAAAGACCCCGCCACAGTGCCCCTTGTTCTGTTCCCTTTTTAATTCGAGTACTATTTGTAAATGAGGATGTTGATGAGTATCAGATCTATGGATGGACGTCTAGTACCGTGCGGGAGATATTAAATCAACTAAAACTCAACATCCCTTCTCTACGTTATGGATCCCTTAACCTACAGTTCATTAAAAAATCAGCCTCAGGTAACCTTCCCCTCAGGTAACCTTCCCCTCAGGTAACCAAGATTAAGACGTTCACAAACACCCGAGGTTCTCATCTGGGGTTCTCACATCCGTAACTTAAGTTCATGATTTATAAATGCCCCCCCCCCCCTCGCCCGGACATTTCCCTCCAGACATTTCCCCTAGTTCCTTTCTTGCAGATAAAGCAACCTTTATGTGCGTAGTTAACAGCAAGTACAGTCAGCGAGACGACCGCCGTACGTTAGACTCTTTCGACTATCGAATTGGCGACTTAATCATGGTCACGGCGGTTGAGGAATCTCGCTGAAAAAAAAAGAAGACTTTCACGGTGCAGACATCTGGCGGCAACTTCTGGGAATCGGCGGAGCATAGGCGGCCCTTACCCTTGGAGGTAACCTATTCTCCAATAACAGCGGTCGGGTTCTGAAAGACAGGTGTGTGCGTGTGGTAAGACAGGTGTGTGCGTGTGTGTGTGTGTGCTTTGTACCTTGATCCATATATGATTAAGAGCTTCTTGACTTGAGACTCGACTTTCGGGATTTACAACAAGTAATTTAGAAACGAAGTCTTGACAGGTTCTGCTGACATTGTTCCAGGGTGGGGAGTCATATTTGACTTTATAGAAGGAATCTAGATCGTTGAGTATTTGTACATTCCGCATAACAGGGAAGGGAAGCTTGCCGCATAGTAGAAGGTATACAACGACCCCAAGGCTCCATAGATCGACTTTATGATTATAGCCTTTCATGGTGAGGACTTCAGGAGCAGCATAGACCAGTGTGCCACAGGGTTGTTTGAGCCGCTCGTTGGGTCCGCAGAGGCATGAGAGTCCGAAATCAGCAATTTTGACGTCGGCTTGAAGCACATCTTTGGACGTAAGGAGAATATTTTCGGGTTTAAGGTCACGATGAACGATACCACTTTTATGTAAATAAGCCAAAGTCTTAAGCAGTTGCACAGTTAAACGATGCACGGCCGTCTCAGCAATAGGCCCTTGTCTTGTAACTGCCTCAAACAATTCTCCACCCGGCACTATCTCCATTACAATATATAGACTATCTCGCGCACTAACCACCGTCTTCAGGTATATCACATGTGGATGACGCAACATGCGCATTATATTTAATTCTGACCTTAACAAATCCTTCTCCTGAGAAGTCATACGGTTCTTGTGCACCACCTTGATAGCAACTGAATCACCTGTCGCTCGCTCCGTTGCGCGATATACCACAGAGAACTTGCCGTGACCAATCGTCTCAAGCATATCGTACAAATCGTTTATCGGCTGCTGACTTAGAGCCGATCGAATCGCGTGTATCCATGAATTACGAGCCTCCTCATTCTCCGCGAAAAAAACACGTCGTTCGGGCAGAATCTGGAATCCATACGTCACGCCCCCATCAGATACCTCGGGACCACTGGACGTGCCTTGTGCTCCCTTGCCCAGGGCTCCCTTACCCAGGGCTCCCTTACCCAGGGCCCCCTTACCCAGGGCCCCCTTGCCCAGGGCTCCCTTGCCTGGCTGCCCTTGACCTTGTACTCCCTTGACTCGTTGCCCTTGGCCTTGTGTCGGGTCCTGACTGTGTGTGGGATTCTGTGTCGCCCCGACTTGCGTTCTATTGTCGTGCACCCTCTCCTTCTGGAGCGACCCTCTCCTTTCGCCGTCAATCCCGCCTGGCGTGCTCTGTACTGTGCCTGTCGTGGACGCTTGGGCGTTGCCGATCGAAGACGAGGGGGTCAATCCACCTGCCGTCCGTACCGCGCCCGGTCCAGGAGGTGCTATTGTCTGTTCATGGACTTGACCGGGAGGTGCGAGCCCCGAGTGGGTGGAGTTTGATGCGTGACCGAGAGCCAGAGACAACGAGGCGGATGCCAGCTCTCCGCCTAGCATGGCATTGGCGCCCAGACGCGTTTTGGAAGCCCCCCGGGTGGGTAGTCCAGTTGACTGAATTCCAGTTGACTGAATTCCAGTTGACTGAATTCCAGTTGACTGAATTCCAGTTGACTGGATTCCGGTAGACTGGATTCCGGTAGACTGGATTCCAGTTGCAGTAGACTGGGTCCCAGTGATCTGGATTCCAGTTGACTGGATTCCAGTTGACTGGATTCCAGATACAGTGGGCTGGGTCCCAGTGACCTGGATTCCAGGTGCAGTAGACAGGGTCCCAGTCCCCTTAGACTGAGGAGAGGGCTGGCCCGCAGTAGGCTCGACAGAAGACGACTGAATCCCTGGCGGAGAGAGCACCTTGGTCCGAGGGTCCGGCACACGGGTGTCGGTTCCTTTCACGACCTGGTAAGCGTCGGACTTGAGCGTCTTGCCCGAGGCGGTGCGGCCTGGACGGCGGCTGGCGGAAACTGTGGTGGGCACGGACTTGACAGGCTCCACGTAGCAGCCTTCTAGGAAGATGAAGCCGGAAGGGACTTTGTCTGCATCTGTTTCAAAGTAGTACAATAAACGGTCGACTAGCCGGCAGTGCACCTTGGTGCCCTGGGCGGTAAAGAGGTTGCCTTCGATCAGGATCTCTGAGGTTGGAGACTGAAGGGTTTGGCTAAATCGAAACCCGCAGACCCAACACTCGTTAAAACGCGAGTCTCTACAGGCGCGGCAGCGTAAAAACACCGCCTCATTCTCCAGCTTTAACTCCGTCGTATAACGCCCGTTGCACTTCGGACACACGACGAGCGGCGCCAGGCACGAGGGGCAATTCAACTCCGTCTGGTGGCGATGGTCCGCCCCCCCCTTCATCGGCGCCGTCTCGGACTGCCCCGGTCGGTCCTGTCCCACCTTGTTCTTCAGCCCCAGGAACGCTGTAACGTCCTCTCCGCCTACCGCAACGTCTCCGCCCACCGCAACGTCTCCGCCTACCGCAACGTCTCCGCCCACCACAGCGTCCGACTTTTTGCTGCCAACGATGCTGCCGAAAGAATGGCCGGCCGGCGTGCTGCCACTCAAAGAATCCTCCAAGTCCTCCACAGGGGTAACCACGGGGTGCAGGCTGGCCTGTCTGGGCGCAGCCTTTTGGAACTGTTTAGAGACACCGATCCAGTTCTCCAGTTTCTGTATATCGGTTATTACAGGGGGTTGCTGTCTGCTGAGGGCGTGACCCTTAAGGCTCCACACGTCTTCACGGAGACAGTCAGAAAATAACTTGAGAAGACCGTTATGGTGGTCGACGTAAAGACGGAAGGAGTCCAGGTCCAGGTAGTCACCCCCACAAGTATCGTACTGGTCGAGGATGTTCGCGACTAGTGCGTCCAGGTCGTTAATTTCGCTCTCTACCTCCACCTCCCGCTTCACACGTGCCAGCATTTCTGTCACCATCGGCGACGGACCCGGTCCGACCATGTACAGGTCTTCATCCTGATCCTCCACCTCCGAGTCGTCGCTTGGTCCGGCCGCTTGAGGGAACGACTGAGTACCATACGACTCCTCCTCCCACGGAGTCCATTTATCAAATAGCACTTGCTCCGGCACGTTGTCGCTAGGCACATTGCCGCTCGCCACGTTGCCGCTCGCCACGTTGCCGCTCGCCACGGTGTCGCTCGCGACGTTGTCACTCGGACGCAGCATCCTCACCTCGCGCTCGCCGTCTACAAACTCCATCGGCACCCCCGCAGACACAATTAGTCCCGAGCTACGCTCTCGACCTGCGCCGTCGCCACGCGCGTCGCCACGCACGTCGCCACGCGCGTCAACAGGTCGAATGCGCGGACTCTCTTCGTTGCTGGAAGACAACTCGGTGTGGCGGTCTTCCAGCCAACTGCAGCTGGACTGGTTGCTGCTGGCGACGTCCTCGGGTCCGTCCAGGTTAGCGTTTTCGATCAAGGTTGCCTTCTCCAGGCTCGGGCCTTGGCCACTGGGGGGCACCACGACCACCATGTCTCCCACACGACTCTGTACCGGCGGAGGGGGTTCGGCAGCCGGTGGCCGCGCATTCGAACTCGAGCCACTCCGCATCAGGGCCGAACCGCTGGACAACACCGGGCCGCTCGTAGGCGCCTGGACTGCCACGCTGCTGAAAGTCGTCTGGTGCCCAGCCGAGGCCAACGACCGTCTAGACTCGCTTGCACGAACCCGGGACTGCTCCGCCAGAGCGGTCACGTCGTGAACTGCCGAGTGGTCGTAAGCTGACAGGTCGTGAGCTGTCAGATCATGAGCAGGAGGTAGGTCATGAGTTAGGTCGTGGGCCGGAATGTCCTGCAGGACCACGGACTTGGACTGCGTCCGACTAACCGGTTTATTCGACTGAAGGTAAGTATCAAGGTATGGCACATTCGAAAGCATCGCCGTCAACTCGTCCTTGGAGACCATCCCATCATCGTTCAAATCAAACAATTTGAATAACACGCCTACACGCTCGCTCTTGGTACCCCGACAGCACACACTCAACCCGTGTACGAAGGCCTCGTAGTTAACTGAGTCCTGTCCCCGAGAGAAACTGCGAAACAGTCGCTCGCCCCATAAGCCCGGAAGCTGGAAATATTCGATGAAGGTTGGCCGGTCTATCCCGTTCGGCTTCGTTGTGCTGCTACGGTTCACGAGCTCTGCATATAGCTTCGTAATCACATTCAGTTCCAAGTCGTCAAGTCTTGAAGAATCGATTTGTTGAGTAGAATTCAACGGGACTGCAGAATTTCCCACCACGGAAACTCGTTGTTGAGGCACTCCAGAAGATACTATTCCGGACCCACTGATGCTTGCTCCATCCGATTCATCTACCGCAGTACAGTTTAGTGTGAACGGGCGGTGAACGAGCGGGCTTTCGATAACAACATATTCAACAAGTGTGTGTGTTCCAACGAACTGTGTGGTAGTGTTGCACGACAAACTAGTGTGATGAATGTTTGTTAAAGTCAACTGGTCTGGTGAGGTTAGCTAGTATGATAGAATGTGAGTAGCACAAATGTGAGTAGCACAACGTGTGTGTGTGAGTGGCAAATGTGCATTGTTTACGATTTTGTTGTCGGGCGGACGACTTGTCTACTAACCGCGTTATTTTCGCTGCCAGGCTGCGGAAGCCCCTACGCTTGTTGTCGTTCATGGTGTGGGGGGTTTAGCATGGAGGAAAAAAGTGGGGTCGATTTGATTTAAAAAACTACCAGTTTTCCGTGTCGAGCGGTGTGTGTTCGTTTATTTTTCGACAATGGCTGAGAAGGTTGAGAAGGTAAAGAAGACCACGGTGAAGGCTTCTCGGAAGAGTGCGCCCGGTCCGAAGCGTCCTATGACGGCGTTCTTCTGGTTTCTGCAGAAGCGACGCCCGGAGTTGATTGAAGAACGGCCTGAACTTAAAAAGGCTGTGAAGGAAGTGGCGAAATTAGTCGGCGAGGAGTGGTCCAACATGTCACCTGAGCAGAAGTCTAAGTGGACGGATATGGCTGCAGAAGCTAAGAAACGCTACGCTAAGGATAAAGCCGCTTTCGATGCAAAGGAAGAGGCTTCAGCAGCAAAAGATGCCGAATAACGCATACGGCTGAATAATGGCGGCGGCCGAATAACCGACACGGCCGAATTATCGACACGGCCGAATTATCGAGGCGACCCAGCAAAGCTGACTGGTGGAAGCCCGCCCGTTAACGTGTATACCCACTCACCAACATTACTCAAGATGAAAACAGACAAAGAGTTCGCCGGGTGCTGCGGAAAGGAACTATAAGCTCGAGTACTTACTTACCCTTTAGCTAGAGTATTTACCTTTTAGCTAAAGTACTTAGCATTTAGCTAGTGACAAATCCACAGTGTTAAAACGTCATTGACTCAATCAATAACCAATAATGTAGATAGCAGATGATGGCACGGGCAAGGACGCACACACCAACTAAGGACGCCCCGACTAAGGACGTCTTGACCAAAAAAGGGAAGCGACTAAAACAAAGGAGGGAAGGGGAAGGGGAAGGGGAAAGGGGAAAGGGGA